CCTCCGCGGGGCGCGGCCTGAGGGGGCCGGCGGCGCGCGGGGCGTCGTCCCCTTTCCCGAGCAGGGCCGTGAGGGGGGGAGCGGTACCGCGCGCCCCTCAGGGGCGGGGAAAATATAACCCCCAGTTAAAAAAAAACACCAAAAACCTTTTTTAGCATTTTTGTCAGGGATAAACACTTGGAAACATCTGAAAATATTCACCAGCATCACCTCCCCTCTCCTCAAGACTCCCCCTCAGAGCCCTGAGGTGAACAAGGGCCCGGAGTGAGCCTCCCAGTTCCCCCTGGGGCTTCAAAGTAATGCAGACAACCCCGATATTGCATAGAAATGCTTTATTATATTTATTTGAACAAAGTAATTAAAATAAGGCATTCTGGGTTATATGTAAACATAGTGGTCAGTCAGCCGTTCCCTTCCCCTACTGCGGAGGGGCTGCTGAGCAGTGAGGGAGGCGATAGGAACAGCAGAAAAGTTTAAAGTTCTGCTTTGACACTGTGATATTTCTCAAGTGGAAATACAATTCCAAAGTTATATCAATATTTAACTTTTGTTTATTTGTTAAGAACATGGCTTCTCTGGAGAAGAGCTGCGATTCTGAAAAGCAAGAGTTGGATTCAATACGATGGCATCCAGCCCAGAAGATTGAGCTACCCATGATGTTCCAGACACAAAAACTGCCTTTCACTACCAGAACTTCTGGAACCCAGAGAATTACTGTGTTGTCCAAAGATATTTAAATTGAAAGTTCATTAAATATTAGATATCCTGCATATGAGCATACTGTTGTTACTAACATTTTTTAAAATAGCGACGCTTCCTTGAAATAGTATGATACACCACATCTATTTTACTTACATTCTGATGTCTGATTTTATGTCATATATTAATATAAAAGGACTCTGGAAAACTCTTCAAAGTAGTAAGCATCTGCCCTACTTGTCACTGACAATGTCTCTAGCAATAAGCTCCTTCATTATTTCATTGGTACCACCATAGATTGGCTGAACACGGGCATCCACGAAAGCTCTGAGGGGGGAAAAAAACAAAAAAAGGAAATATTAAGAACAATTCCTCAGAATGGGCATTCAACCAAAAGCAAAAGATATTAAGTTTTATTTTTGAAGATCCCTCTTTTCCAAGTATGCTATTCCCATTTTCAAAGAGGTTTCAGTTACCTAAAATATTTCACTTTTCCAAGGTACTGTGCCAAACTAGGAATCTGGTCAGCATCTCTTCTTTGTTTTTTTGTTTACAGTGGAAAGCCTCCACTATCCCCTCTAGTTAAAAATATAAAAGTTCTATAAAACCAGACTCTCAACCACTTTCTGCCCCCCAATTCTTGTTCCCTCCTTTCTTAATGTCACCTGAGCATTAACTCAACTCCGGACACCAAAGCCCCCATGCACACACCACTCACATCCTGCCGAACAGCACACCTGCATGAACTGCAAGACCCAGGTGCCTCCTTGTGAAAAAACAACTCCTGCAGAGCCAAACTGATAGTTATCGTGGTAATTTGCTCTACTGCCCTGGCCTGTCTGATCCTGTCCAGAGGACCGCTAATGGTGCTGTCAGTTCCTTCTTTGACATGGGACTCAAACACCTTGGGAGGAAAAGAAAGTGCCAACTGGTTTCACATCAGCTGTCTACAGCCTTCTACTGACACCAGCTCCAGCTCCATTTGGGCCAGCAGCCGAAAAGCTGCCTGTAGCCAAGCCAATTCCATCCTTGTGCTGGAACCGGCCCCAGTATATGCACAGCTGGTGACAGCACACAGGACAATGACAGTGTATTTTTCCATCTTAATTCTGCTTCATTATACAGAGCGCAGCCCAGGAGCAACGCAGCATTCTCTGGAAACATGCATGTTGCTGAACCACAGGGATAATAAAACCCTGTATGGACAATTACTGCACACACAAATAAGCAGGGGCTCGAGGACACCATGAACAGGGCTTGCTGGCCTCCCTATTTAGTAAGATAGGGTACAGAACACTCACAAATTACACACATTAAAAACACGCAGGAAAAAGTTATTTTAGAGCAACATTTCGTACTCTTAATGTATTTAGAATTAAAAAAAAAAATCTAAACCTATTCAGTTAAAAAGATTAGTTTAACTTACCTGCTTATGACAACTGTACAGCAGTCCTGGTTTTGCTATTTCTACTATCAGATTACCCCCTCTTTTTTGTTTTTAAATAAAGACAGCACCATAAACTCCACATAGTATGGCAAATGGCATGTACACAAGAGGAAATATCTTCACAGATAATACACAAGGAAATATATAAAATAATAACTCCACTAATGTCCCTTAATTCATAAAGTAAGCCAAAAATTGGGAATGGCATATTCTTCTTTCTATATATACATATCTCTCAGGTTTTTCATTTAAAAAGGTGTAAAAAAAGCTCAATGTAGCCAGTCATGTTCTTGACTAGGCAATTTGTTATTTTGTGGTATTACACAAGATTTAGGCTGACCAACATATTTTCTTTCCTTTGAACATATGCATTTAACTTCAGATAAAACATACAAACTAGCTCTCCTGGTTTTTATTTTTAAGTTGCTTCTCTGGTTTTTCAATTAACATTTTCTTCTAGAAAAGAAACTTCTATTTTGTTAAAAAATAGATAATAATAGATAATAATTGATCAACAGCTTATGAATTATTTGGAGAATCAAAACAAAGTCTTCCTGCAGACATCTGTACAGTAGATTGCCCTTCAATAAACATGATGAGAAAAAGAACAGTAAATCAGTACTAACACAAAACAACTGACAAGTACACGTAAAGGCAGTGCCTCATTTTACTTTGCTGGTAATCTTTCATCATTGAAGTCTGAAATGTTACACTTACTTTGCAATTTGATACTCCCACATGTACCCCCATCCTCCGTGCAGTTGTACACACTGAGTAGCTATGCTGTTTTGGAGATCAGAACACCTTCAAAGGCCAAAAAGAAATCTGTTTTTAGAAGGATGTTATGCTGGGAAACATTACCAGAGATACAGATAAATTAGCAAGACAAAAATCTAACCAAACTTTTTATTCTATATAACTGATCTTAAATGCTGGCCATTAAGATACTTTATACCCCAAAGGACTTTTTTCTTGCCTCATAATTGGTAAGAAATAAATACTGTTCAATTCAATGGATTAAAGATTTGTTCTCCTTATGGAGGAGCTTTCAGAGTAGGAAAGCTTTCAAAACAGACAAGCTTGTTTACCTTTCTCACAGGCCAAGAGACTTCTTTTTTAAAGCAGGTTGATATAGTGTCTTTTCTGACCAAATCCTTTAGCTTTGTTAAAAATTAACAGCATCCCAGGCTTGTCCCACACACCCTAGCAACACACCAGGATGATCTTTGAGTATATCCATCACTTGGGGATAATTTATTTTCCTCAATAGACTTTATAGTTTTAAATTCTAAGAAATACTGTCATTCTTAAACAGAATTGCTCACGGCAAAATATGGATTTAACTGTAAAACAAGATTTTAACTGCACTGGAAGTTCAAGCTAAAGTTAAAAGACATGGAAAAAACCCCTTCACTTTCTAAGCGTACAACTTTCTGAGTGGCAACAGAAGTAAAGAAAATGATGACTCAAGTCAATTGCTTCTCATGCATGAATGTAAGAGACCTTTTCTCCAAATCACCCCTCTCCTTTTCTCAAAACCATCCATCCCCTCATCCAGTTAAATCCTTACAGTTTATTATACCAACTTTAAGTCTGCAGTGGTGAGTTTCTGCAACTGTCTTTCCTAAATATATTTTCAAATTAATTTAGGTATATAATACAACCTGTCACCGCAAAATAAAACCTACAGATCTTTCATCACATATTAGGAAAGAGATCCACAAACTACGTTTTAAAATCCTTCAAAGCCCTAACTCAAATCATTGACTATACAAAAGGTTTGAAGTAAAATTAACTGGAGATAGTCTCCTGGAAACATTAGGGAATAAAGCAGCCCGACATTGAAGCATTTTCTATATCATCTAAGGTAGTTTTATGGAGGCAGTCACAGGAACTCCATTAGGGAAAGGGGAAATAAACAAGTTGTGGAAGGTGGGGAAGTTTCAAATGCCTCACTTGGGGAAATTTGCTGAGGCACTAAGTCTACATATCTGAGTTGGCACTAGTTGTTTCCTCCTCCTTGAAACTGAATGCCTCTGCTTATGTACCTGGTACCTCTAGGTAATCAGTGCCAGGAATAGCACTCAATCAAAATCCTTCCTTCCATTGTAAATATTCTCTCTGCATTCCCTTAGTATTCTCTGCTCATTTCCTCTATACTTATTTTTTAAAGTCTAGAATCTGAAAAATCTGTGCATCTTCCATAAAATTATTTTTTCATGTCTGATGTGATCTTCTCTCCCACCTTGGCAAGCAAAATAAAACTATACAAATTCATTAGATGCTTCTACTCATCCAGCTTTCTCTGGTTAAGCCTAAGCTAACAGATAACAGCACCAAGTAGGGGGAAAGAGGAGGAGTTCTGGCCAATAAAGGAAAGTACTGTTTAGTCTCAGTTACAGCAATAGCTGTAGCCGACTGTTTCTGCCCAAAACCAGATAGCTTCAAAAACTGGCTGAGCAAAACAGTCATTGCTAAGTAACATTAACTAAAAAGTATCTTTACCAGCCTCAGACAAACCTATGCTTTTAAAAAAACCAAACACTCCCTCATTAAAAAAACAAAGAAAAAAAGCAAAAAAACCACCCAGCAATTTGCTACAGCAAAATGTAAATGTTTGTCTAAATACCAATGAAGTACTCACTTTTACTTGAAGCTACAGCTGAGTCCTTATTTGTTATTAATGGAAGCCTGTTTTAAAAGTGTGCTATTATTTTGAAATTGATCTGTTTAACCAACACCAGTTTTCAATGTAACTAAGATTTTTGTTGACTACACGATTGAAGTTAAAGCTAGTGGTCTCTATTATAAGCTGATAATACTGTTATTAATCAGAGAGTCATTTTAGCTTTTCATTAGATCTGAATAGTTCAGTGTTTTTATCTTTAGACTCCTGTCAAGATCATGCAAGTAACACTTCCAAATTACTTTAACCACATACCAATACTTTGCCATAGAAGCTGTGGAGGAGTCCAGACGTTTATCTGCATGCAGCTGCAAACAGTTGTCCATAAAAGCTCGTCCCACGCAAATCTGTGTTTTCATTTCTGCCAACTTGTGCTGTACCGTCTTATTTTGGAAGTGGATAGAGGAGGCAGAGGAAAGAAAAAGTAGGAGTAGCACAGTTTTTAAGTGACATTTGAAGTTGAAAATGGAGCATTTTCTAAAAGGATTTCTGTTAGAAATCATCATTTCAAACAACTTTGCCTCTGTGTATCAGAAGACAACTTACTTTCCATATGATTATATCCTTACCAATCTTATTACAGAAGATTACAGCCCTTTACTTCTCAAACCAACTCAAAACATGACCTTAAAGAGAAAAACCCTAAGGACCTGAAAACAAATTCCTAGAGAGCGCAGAGTAGGAGGCACTGGGTGCTCTGTCACTCTGCTCCCCCTTGCAGGGAAATATCCTTTCACTCCCTAGAACCACCAATTTCCCCAGTTATTAGTAACATTTCCTCACTTACCAGATGCATTTTTCTATGCATTCAGTTCTTCAGATTTCAAGTGATAATTTGAAAACTTTAAACTAAGTATCAGAAAGTTTTTCAACACTGAGTTCCATCACATGGGAAAAGTTTCTAGATAGAAGAGGTAAAATCCACTGCTAAGGTCACATAAAACCAGACCAGGCAAGTGTTTAACTTGTCTTGTAATTCTGGTAGGGAGGGGATAAAAACACCACCCAGAAACAAAAGTTTTTTCTGATCTCACAGTTCTAACACTGTATATACAAAGTCTTCCTGCTTCTCTTGACAATAAATGCAATTGACCAGTCTACTATTATTACAAAGAAAAGATTTTATTTCAAACACCATCCTGTGGCATGACTAAATGAATTAGGCAAGGCAGAGTTCTAATCAGAAAGGATTTTTGATTATATGCACATTATAGTAATCAGTAACAAAAAGGAAACCCAAGAGGTAGGCAAGAATGGATTATTTTGGCAAAAATAATATACTTCATGAAGTTTATTGGCCACCTGGTGGTTGGCAGTGGGTTAGCCTAGAAAAGATTATTTTGGTGGTCTCCGCACAGTGAACTACTACAATTAGGAAGCATCCCTTACCTACATGAAAAAATATGTAAAATGTATTTCTTTTGTTAAAATTGCACATTGCACATACAAAGTTCCATCTGGAATCATGGATTTCTGAATGTTAACTTTAAAAGCAGATGAAGATCATGATTTCCTGAAAGATACCTAGCATTCCAGCCTCTAAAGTCACCAGTTCTGCTGCTATTCACAGCAACTAAAAATTTTATTTTGACAAAGGAAGTTTCAAGACTTTGAAATTGATTTTTTTTTTAATTATTTCAGAAGTATATTAAAAAAAAAAATGGCAGCCAACATCCTCTGACCCATGAGTCACTTCTGTCCCATAAACCAAACATCCAGGAGCTTGGTCTGCTTCAGCCCTACAGCTAATGTGGTTTTCAGGAAAATTGTAACATTGCAATACTGCAGAAAGCAACATCTGTTTTATGACTGCAACTAAAGAGCGTAGGCATAAACGTCTCAAAACACAATTAACTGCCACTGTCAAGAGTGAGATACGCTCACAGAGAATGACCCAATAGTTTTATATGCAGACACTTAAATACCCAGCTAGATGGTAGCTGAGGAATCTCATTCCAACACCCATAAAGCTGAATACAAACACTTCTGCAGGGACTCAGGCAGCAAGGTCACTGCCTGGGAGCTCCCACCAGCATCAGCCTCAAACTTCATTTTTCTGCAATCAATTATGTGCAGAGAAATGCAGTACCTGCACATGCACCAAGCTCTTCTGCAGTCCGTAGGATTCCAGGCAGATACCGAAATACATGCAGGTGTGACAGACCCTGTGATTAGGATCTCTGACAATAAAACACAAGCCTATGAGCAACAAGGTAATTTTTCTGCAGCAGCAGCAAGAAGCCAGTATAGTTACTGCTTGCATATTTCGCTTCCAAAAGCGGCACTGCTGGGAGGTATCTAACTGAATTGTAAAATACATAAAGGCTTTTGTGGTTTGGGGGTTTTTTTTATTATTTTTGTTTTTCAAAAATAAATGATGAGCATGAAGGCAAAAAACAGCCACAGTCCAACAGTGAAACCTGTAAAATAGTCCTTTGAAAACAGCCCAGTGATTTTCATTTGCTCACTATTTCACACACACAGATGTAAAGCAAATGCACGGTGCGATCTACACACAAGTCTCCCAGTTCAAACTCACCTGCAAGTGTGCAATCGTCTTCCCAAAAGCTTTTCTTTGTTTCACATAATTCCTTGTTTCTTCAAACATGAATTCACAATTAGCAAGAGCCATATCAGCGATCAGCAGTCTTTCCTTTTGAAACACAAATTACAGAATCCAGCTGAATTAGTCCTACATTTCTCCCTACCAAAATGCACAACTGGGACACAGATGTTCAGTGTGGTTCATTAAGGGAGTGGGGCAGAAGTCACACTAAGTAGCAAACCAGACACACTGCATTACTGAAATTAATGAGTGGGATAAATGCCTTGCTGCCTGAAGCTCACTTTTAAGTCTTTTCCAGGGTAATGTTCTATCATGACTCAAAAAATAGCTACAAATCAATCACAGGACTCTTACTGACCGAAAAATTCACATCTAATTCTGTTTCAATTATTGGTTTTCACTGCTCAGTTTAAACAACAACTGCATTTAACAATTTCAATAGGACACCTCTAGAAAAACAAAACCTACAAAAAAAACTGACTGTTTTTGCCTTCCTCATAACATGTTGAAAATCAGAAACTAAGTACAGGAAAATTATTTCTATCACCATTGAAATCATATGATGCATCACACTGAACCTGTTCATGACTGCATCTATTTCTTTAAAGCAGTCAAAGACTTCCTTTGATCAAGTATCATATTTACTCACAGTACCAAATTAAATAAACATGATACCTACCAAATGAGGCAAATGAGGCAAAGTCGTAGTTTTGACAAAGCACAATCACATTTTGAAAAACCACATTGTGTCTTTGTCCTCCCAAATAATTCCAAAACTTTGTAAACTAAGTCATAAACTTACTTCCACCAGCAAGGTGTTTTGTCAACTAAACAATTTCTGTACTTTGCTATATGGATAGAGTTCTTTATATCTTTAATAAGTTTATACTGGTAGAAGAGCAACAACCAGCAGTGCTTGCTTCTTTCTTTAAAGAGAATGCCAAACGCATCAGAGACCTCCACACTGTGTTTAATTTACTAAGCAAAGTGGTTCCATGCTATAAGTATAAAAGAAAACTGTGGTGTGTTCTTTTAAATACATTACCCTCAGGTTCTTCAATAGCTGGGTTGTTGATGAAGAGATCTGGCTCTGAGCTGGTAGTATATCAACATTTTCACCATTTCCCAAAGAATTGCACTTTTAGCACCAGGAAGTGTGTATTTCAGTTAAAAAGCAGCAGTATCAACACAATGTTGCCTACAGACATCCTGATTCTCAGCCCAAAGTGGCTCCCCACAGTATATAAAATCCTCAAGATGAAGGCAGATTCTTGCAATGACAAAACTCGCCTCTGCATTCTTCCTGCGGACAGCAAATACTCTCATTCCTCTTACCTGAGGGAGCTCTGCCATCAGATAGTAGAAGCCTTTGTTCTCCTTTCCAAGTAAGGCACTGGCTGGCAACCGTACATCTTCAAAAAACAGCTCTGCAGTGTCCTAAGAGGATTTTAAATGTAACAGTTTATATTCTGACCTTCTCATCTCTTCATTCCATTTCTTTTGCCCCATTTTTTTCTTGCTATTGTACACTTTAACTTGAAAACATGGAATCATTTAGGTTGGAAGGGTCCTCCAGAGGTCACCTAGTTTATCTCCTACTCAAAGCAGCTCCAGAAAAGCAAGCAGCTGAGGGCCTTGTCCAGTTATGCTTTCCAAAGCTCAAAGATGAAGGCTCCATGACCTCTCTGGGCCCCTGTTCCAGTATCTGTTCACTTTAATGGTGCATTTTTTTTTCTTAATATCTACTTGGAATTTTCCTTAATGTAACTTGTGTCACTTGCCACTCTCCCTTTCACTGTGCTCCTCTAAGAAGAATCTGGCTCCACCATCTCTACAGCCAACTGCTAGGTAGCTAAAGACAACAATAGGATCCTGGCCTTCCAGACATTCTTCAGAGTAAGGAAATCCAGCTTCCTCAGCCTCTCCTTGCACATCACATGCTTTGGGCTTCCACAGGCAAGCTCTGCATACATACTTTTCATGTATATCGTCTGTCCTCTAAACCTAAGAACTAGAATAGCACCACAGTTCCAATTTATATTTACTTAGCTAATGCCAGGCATTAAGTGGATTTAGATTTCCTCCAAGTCTATTACGTGTTAGAAGTTGTATGAACTCACTTGAGCTTTCAGGCCAATTTTGTCCAGCTTGCGTCCTTTGATGAAACCTTTTGTTCCATTTTCCACCAGAAAAAGGCTGATCCCATGAGCAGGAGACCGGGCCTCCTGGTTTGTAACCGCAACCACAATCACTACATCACTCATCCAGCCATTAGTGATGAATACCTGGAAAAAATGCCATTTGGAATAAAGCAACAAGCTACGTGAATAGAAGTTATAGAAGAGATAACAAGCAGCAGAAAAATTGCATTGAGACTTTCACAGGTGAACTGAAAGACAAGGTTTAAGCGTCCAGAAGAATTTTAAGCTTTAAGGTTTCTGCTTTAAGTGTTTTGGAACAAGTTCTACTAAAGTAGGAATTAGTTTGAGAAGTGTTGTGTGGGTCAGAAGCATGAAGTTAAAGAGTGCACAGATCCGTTTGTTTTGTCTGTCCCATGGTAAAGAAAGAATATGGTATCAAATGTAGGTATTAAATGAACACACAAGGTTCTCTTTTCTAGAAGTTAAATTAGCAAGGTATAACATGCAAAACTATTGATGGCTCCTCATCACAACTGCTTATTATAATCCTGCAGAATGACTCATGAACCTGCCAAAGCGATCCACCTTCACTCCAGCAAAAGAAATGAGCTACAGCTTACATTATGGTAACACAAGTTTTTACTTAGGCCACAGAAGATTTCACAGTGGTAGTATATATATTTTGTTGTTCAACCTCAGTATTGAAAAACAGCCCTGGTCCTGCTTATACTATGCAGGATTTTTTTTCTTCCCCTTTTCTTCCCAGTTTAAGGGAAAAAAAGCCTTTTGATAGGGTTATTTAAAAGCTACAAAAAGAATCTACTCAAGTCTTTCCATAAATTGGTCAATATATTGCCATCAATAGAATTATCTTAAGTAGAAAAAAACCAAACCAAAAACCTAAGTGGGGAAAAAAACCCCAAAACATAACCCATCAAAAAAAAAAAAAAAATAAAAGGACTAGGGAGAGATCCTAATAGTGGTGCACATTCTCCACTGTCTAAATGCATTCAGTTCCCAAAGCCTATGAGTGGTATATCCATCTGCTCACTTACCTTACTCCCATTAAGAATCCAGTCATTTCCATCTTTTTTTGCATATGTTCTTATTCCCTGCAAGTCACTAAAACAAAATTCAAAAGGTCCTTCAAGAAACCACTCCAGAAGCTGCAATTTGTATCTTGAATCCTACTCAGTACAAATTAAGGTAGATTTTATACTGCACAGGCTCAGTAAAAACACATACCAGGACAGCAAAACGTGGTGAAATGGCTTAGAGTGTAACACAGAAACCACAAGCACGCTGCAGAAAGGGCTGATAAATCTATGCAATTGTGCAGGAGCATGAGGTCCCATTTTAACGTATCTGCTTGTGGAAGCTGGTGTAATACAAGTGCTAACACCAATGGATCAGCATCCCCTTAACGCCAACATGCCTTAGATGTCAAATGCCAGACAAAATCACACCTTCTAAGCAGGCTCAACTCTATTCAGAAGGCTTTGTAAGAAGCCACTGGTAACATCTAACATTTGTAGAAGCATGACACCAACATGCTTCTACATGTTGGTGTCATGTTGGTTTTGCTCTTCACCTCTTCCTCGCTGTTTTGGAAATGGGCCAGATGAGCTGTGTCTACTCCAAACACGTGCTGTCTGCCCTTCAACAATGATGAGCAAGGAGGGACATTCCTCTGCTTGAAACGATTCAGAGGAAAATAAGGTGTTCTGTTCCACAACAGCTAATAGTAAGGGAAGTCCTCTTTACTGAGGTATGTAATTTTCTCCTGACTTTTATATTAAAAGTATGTTCACGTGACAAGCAAGTCAGTAACTATAAACTCAGACTACAAAAGCAAATACAAAGCATATTTGCCCACAGTGGGATGATATAGAAACAGATTCTGAGCAAATACCTTGAAATGACGAAACTGTAATAAAGTAATCTGTAAGTAACAGGTTTTTTGAGGTTCAACCTAATCTAGGATATTGTCTAGTCAACAAAATGACCATGTAACCAGGAGGCTCAGAATTCTTTTCACTGATAAATCAATAGACAGCACATAATGTTAAGACTATTGCTTTAATATTGAGCTTACCTGCCAGCCCCGGGTTCTGTCATGGCAATAGCTCCAATATACTTGCCTGCAACCATTTCAGGAATGAAACGTTTAATCTGTTCTTCAGAGCCATAGTTTGCAATGTAGGGCATGACTATATCCGAATGAAGACTGAATCCTGGGCCAGAACAGTTAACATACATCCTTGGGGAGACAGAGAAAAAAAGAAAGAAGCTCAAGCAGAAGTATTAGAAAGATTTAAACACTGAACTTTACACAGTTACAACAGACCCAACAATGAAGAAGGCTCCACCACACAGAAACCTCAGACATCATCTGAGCTTCTGGCACTTGTATTGTTATTCATAGAACATACTTTCATAGCCGAATGAGAGTATAACCTACCAGACTAACTAAAATGCTTCCCCCAGTTATAAAGTCCTAACAGTGGAGCACAATGACATTTGTTACTGAAACAATTATCCAGAATACTTAAAACAGCAGGGATTTACATATGTCTAAACCATCACTTTCATTAGAAAGATAACACCATTTTCTGTAAGGAAACATACTCTGCAATGAGGACATCTTATGGAAAAAAACATAGTGTCTCTTGTTAATATCACTGAAATTCTTCCTGAAGCATCTAGTACTTACTGCTCCTCCCAGACCACGGCTGAAGAGAGAATATCTGCTCCGATGCCTCCATGTTTTTCAGCGATAGCAACACCCAGCAAACCCTGCTGTCCAGCTTTTTCCCAGAGCTCCCTGCTCACCTGGCCATCCTTTTCCCATCTGCAAAATGAACACAAGAACAGTCACACACTAAATCCCCCATACGCTACTGTTTATTTGTCATGGCTGTTGCTTCACACTCGAACACCCACAACCACATTTCATTGCATAGGAAGAGACTTTCAGTCTCACCAACAGACAACACGTAGGGTACACAGACGACTATATTTCACAGCTAAGAAGTGATGGTTTAATAATAGATTTTCTATTCTTCAAGTCCACAGCTGCCACTGGCATTACAGGGGCACCAACGGTATAACAAGTTTGAACTCCTGCTTCCAACATATAATCTCACATCCCTTTAAGGCTTGTTATGAAAAGCAGCGCTGCCTATTGGTCTGAGTGCTAGACTGGTATTTAGGAGATTTAGCTACAACCATCTGGATAATTACAAGCAGGTCTTTTTCTTCCTGATACTCCATTTTCCCCACATACAAAATTAGCATAACACATCAGTATCTTTTGTAAAAGATTTCAACCCTACCAGTGAGAACTGCTTTATAAGAACCACGTGTTAACACATTCATCACTTCTATATAAAAATCAGTCCCTGTAGACTTATGACAAGGCAGTACTGTATCTTGGTAAATTATTGCTTCAAGGCGGCATCAAGTTTGTAAATAGATAGCTTTAACACCACAGTGATCACTTATTCTTGGAAAAATAGTGCCCCTTTATGGAGTTTGCCAATTCAATAGAAAGATGGATGGCCATTAATGGCCTAGCCTTTTTTTTTAAAAACCACAATTTTAAAATTATATGGTAGACAGATTATATCAGAGACACTGATTATACCTGACACATCTGTATGCAGCAGAGCTATACCACTTTATCCACAGATAATCAAGTATCTTATCCTACAAATTTAAGCTCATTTCCAGAGCTTTTCCTCCTACACTGGAAATCTTAAATAAATCTCTCTCATGACCATCTTTTGCTCTTCCTCCCGCCCCTCACCCTTGCAGGGCCACTCCTGTCTCTACTTCATCCATCAACAAAGCTTCTCCTCCTCACGATAATCCACAACTGCACTCAGTGATGCCACATGTCTCTTCACGTCAGCCCAGCCAACTAATATACTATGCATGAAGCCTCCTCGTTTACTTGAAAGGTGGAAGAGCAGATTGGTTCATAGGTTGCTGAAGTGATGCAAGAACACAAGTCCAACTTATTCCAGTCTCTCTAGAAAATCTTTGTGTCAGGAAGCTAGCAAACAGGATCTTCAGGAACCTTGAGCAGAGCCAGCACCTGTTCACAAACCTGCACTAGAAGTCATTCTAACAAAAGATGAAGGAAAACATCTGGCTTTGTGCACAGAATCTGATTGAACAGTGGAAAAGCATACTACTCTGAGGTCACAGTTTGAGGATAAAAAAAATAGTTGGCAACAACTCTGATGTAAGCTGTTTCCTTTGCCTCCTGCTGTTCATTTCTGCCTCAGAGCCAGATCACCCCACCCACTCAACTGTGCCATCTCAACTGTTTGTGGACACACACTGTGAGCTGCATCATGAAATTCATCTAGCAATGTGATTGAAGAATAAACCCTGCACTACCCCCTGGTGTTTTTGCAGGAATATTTTTCAAGTAAAGTAAAAATTGCTTAAGACACTACTGCAGCTTAATGCCCTCTGTTAAAAAATATGTTCTGACTGGATTTATTTTCTTTCCCCAACTATAACACAATTGGATATAGATAAAATAAGGGCAAAAACCACCCTCTAGCTCTAGTTCAATGGAAGCACAACACTTCTACTCTGTGCAGAAGACTACATATATTTCCACAGAAGCAAAAAAAGACAGAAATTTAAACAAAGATATTTTGTGCAAGTTTCTTGGTAATACATAATCCAACTTATGTGTACTGTATTTAAAAAATCTACTGCAATGTAACCTAAACACAATGTCAATACTTCTTTGGATGACAGCAGTATAATAGCATAGGAAGTGAATTGTCTCCCTAACTCTACCCCCAAGATATTGGTGTCAGAATTAATACCTACAAGCTGTGATACTTTCACTGCAACTCTGCAAACTGCATTTGTCTGCCTAAGACAAAGATGCTAGATTGCCTACACTGGAGCTCAAAGAAGGCAGCAAATTTTGATTATATGTGATTTTTTTTTTTCACATTTGATTTTCACAGGCAAGTTTGTTTTAACTGAATAAATTTGAAATAGAAAGCTTGTAAATGAAAACAAATATCCTGTTTATCTTGTCATATTAAGAGTAACACCCCAAAAAAAATATTTTTGGGGAAGAACGTATATTATTTGGCAAACTAGAATGTTTAAGACATATCTTACTGTGCGTGAAAAGGCAGCACTTCTTCCTGAAAGAACTTCCTGACACTCTCCCTGAAGATATCATGATCTGATGAGAAGATCCTCCGAGTGCCTATATCAACCAAACTTTTAGCAGAAGATGGTTCTGGGCGCTTTGTGCCATGCTGTTCAGTTTGCAGAGGACTGAAAAAGATAAGTGAAAGCATCTGTTAGGATACATGTACCCCTATTTACACAAGAAAGGAAACACCTGTGTTGTTAAACATAGTTCACATCCCAAGTCTAGCACACTGTTAGGTCCAATACTCACAATAAATATAAAGACAAAACATATACTGAACTTCACTGGGTTGTGAAAGAAGGTAAAACAAGACTAGTTTGTCCTTAACACTCCAAATAAATTTAAAAGAATAATAATACATGCATAGGTAAGAGGATAGTTTCTGTTCATCAGAGATGCTAAAAATCATCACTGCCTTCTCCCCACGCCACACAACCTCCAAAATGCAATTGGGGTCAATTTAAACTGAGTGGGTAACTTTTTGAACAAGTAATTTTTTAGTGTTTTTTGTTCATTCTGTACGTGCCCCCGAAAGTCCCAAAACTGAAAGTCCATTATACTGAAAATTCACACACTCAAAATAAAAATGACTACAACATGGATCTGCGCACTCAGAAGGCTGTATTATACTCTGCATTATCACATATATCTGCATAGCTCTAACCTTGAAAATAATACTTTCTAATTCCTTCTAACTTTCAGTATTTTTGTAGAGGAAGGCTATTCCTCCCAAAACTTTGATAAAAACATATGTAAAAATAAAATGCTTCTTTAACAAAAAATAGAAACTGAGACAGCTGTGTCAGTAGTAAAAACCACACAAGGAAATTATAATTACAAAATTGCAAGGAAAGGAGTAAAGCTTTTGTAGGGGTTTAGAACGCCAAGAACTTCAGGGTTGAAATTAAAATTCCCTCCTTATATTTGTGCATTGGGTTCTTTGACTTGCTTTTATTTTGTTGCCACAAAACATCAGAAATTATAAATATAGAGCAGAGCTATATTAAGTGGAAAAGGCATTCACTGTTCCTTTCTCAAAGTATTCTGTTCACCTCTCCTCAGTTCCTCAGCACCACACAGTAATTACGTGTAGTCCCACAGAGCTTCGCTGAACCTACACTTCACTCCATTATCGAGACGAAGGTCTTTATTTATTGCCACATGAAGTTACTCACGCTCTTTCTGGTGCCAAGGATTAACCACCTCTGAAACACAGACGCTATTTACTCCTAGTGATATTTGCAACAAATATCCAACTTGCTTGTGCACTATTTTGTACCCTCCAACACAGGCATCCCGTGCTAGGCACACAGTGACTCTCCCAAAAGCTCCACCTCATTTTCAAAGCTGCTTAAGATGATATTAAGCTTTACTGAAGACCACTCTTTTGTTTAATTGCAGCTCACAGCCCACACGGCACACAGGGAAGGGCCGGGCTGCTCCTTCATGCCAACCACAGTCCTAGGAAACACAACTCAAAGGTTAGAGGAGGTGTGAGCAGACGCCTGCACTTCTGCTCCCCAAAACCCCCTTCCCTGAGCCCAAACACCCTGCTGTCACAGGCCCACGGGTGACCGGGCTGCCTGGGCAAGGACACATCCAGCCCATCACCTGCTGCCACCACGGGACTCGGTGTCCCCAAGTGTGGATGGGAAGTGGAGTAAAGGTCAGGTTTGTCATGGGACATGCAGGGGCTCCCAAACCCGCTGGGCACCGGGGGCTC